TTGAGCTTGCTTCTTGATTGTAAGGTAGAGGTTCCAGATCTTCGGTGAACTTATGCGTAGTAAATCCCGCCACTGGACTGCTTTAGCTCTGGTAGACTCCAAGAGGAGTGGTGCGAGGATTGGTCAAGATGTCGTTTGTGGTGTGCAGTATGTTAGGACTCAGTTGCTGCCGTGAATTATTTTCGCCGCATGTGTGCTGATGGCTAACCACACATATTTCAAAACTTCGTCATAGTTTAATCCAAAAAACTTTTAGGGTACCTGTTTTGAAATCATGTTTATTTACTTCTAAAAATATCGGTGCTTTTACACTCATACCTAATGACCTTTGGTATTCTTATGCCATATCAAATTAAGAATCAAGAATTCTATAATAATAAAGGATAAACTGTGCCCAAAATGTGATCACTTAGTTATTTTGTCTTCTTCTTCAGATGGTCGAGAAAGTAATTAGATACAGAATCTAACCGCTATCATTTGCATAACGGTCACTGCATTCAGTGACAAAAACTTGGTCAGTAGAACAGGATAAGAGAGATAAACAATTCACGAAAACAGCTCATCTTCAGTCACCTCGGTGAATACATGTACAGAAACTAGTCTAACTTAGCAACTGATACTCCTCACTATAACTGGGACGTACGTATTTTAAGTCATGTCAGAGAAAGATAACCTGTTTAATATGTCTTCATGCATTTTCTTGTAAATATACGTCAATTTTTCTGCAAATTCCTCATTTTTATGACTGGTTGGCTGAAGGTCACCCGTGCGTTTGCATCCCTTGGGACGCTATTGTTGAACTTTGCCGAATATATCTATGACTTTCACTATGTGGGCTGTTAGAGAAATCTGCCCAGTTCATCTATAGTTTTTTATGTTGATAAAGTTAGTGATTGCGGACTATTGGCAATCTTAAGTTTTGTTGATAAGCTGTCAACCTGTCTGTTATTATTTTTATTGATGTTCCAGACACCATTTCTGTTTCATCGATGAAATTTTCTTAGGCTAACAGTTTGTAATAAACAAACATGAGGAACTCACACAAATTTCTAACATGTTATATTTACCAATTATATTGCCAAAATTGGTTTTTTACATGAAAAGTGATAGGATGCTATCACGTCCAGAATAGATAGGTAGTTTAATCACCGCCTGAAAACGAGCGAATTTGAGCGTGAGATAGTGAAGTAAAAGGTCTGAATTTTATGCAGGCAGCAGTTTGTTAACTTACTAGTTTTCTGTTTTGAATACATTTCAGATTTTAAATGGATGAAAAACTAATTACATAGGTACATCCAGATCATATCTTTAAGCCAACTGTCGTAGCACAGATGTAATATCTCGTGGTTATCAGGTGTACGAGCAAACAGCAGGTTGGTTTTTGCGCAATGTGAATGGAAATGCAACTATTTTTGGGCAGAAAATATAATACGTGACAAGAGGGTAAAAAGATTACCCAGGAATAAAATTAAGAAACACCTAGAGACTGAAACAGAAAGTTTTTATCTATATGAAATCCAGGTTAGATACGAAGTCAACCGATAATTTTATGATTCTACAAACAGTGTGGAACTTTCAAGGTCACTGTTAGGTACTTCATACTAATAAAAGTCACTAGTCACTTCCAGGTTTGTGAATTCTTGTTTTTAACCTCAGCAAGCTTTGACGAAGAACAGTACAAAGCTTTGCGTATGCAGCATGTTCTATTCCTTTTAATTTTTAAAATTTATGGGCTAACTAAATCTTGATGAAAGAATTTCTTTACTTCATAATATCAACAAACATTCAGTGTCAGGAATGTTTTGCTATTTGTCTACCCCTCCATTATTTCTTTTTTGAAGGGACGACACAAAACCGTATAATGGATAAGGCGTGAAACTGCTACCATTCTTAGTCTTCTAGGAGCAAGCTGTTGGTCACTAAACTGCTAGCCCCTGAAGACAAACAAGGTAAAACAGCTCCGTGATAAATCAAAAGCAAACATAAATCTGGATAGCTCTGCAGCTTAACTGCTTTTACATAAATTTGAAGCAGTCATCTATACATCCTTCATACCATTTAATTTACGGTAAGTTCATTGTGGAATCAGTTCATGAGTTGTTACTTTCTAATATAACATTTGTAAAACACAATGAACTAAACTTTTCTACGTATACTTGCGTTAAGCGAAGAAAGTCATAAAACGCATAATGAGGCATATGCTTTATTAATTAATAATGAGAAGAACTTTGTTTAATGAACGTCTATCATTTGTGCTTGTGCTTATACAGATTCACCTCATGCCCGAGTAATTCTCAATACTCAAATGAGGTTATTTATACTATATCTGGTTGAATTACGCTGTTAATATGACATTTAGTACTGTTTATCTAAGTCCATGAGAATATGATTTCTTCAATTGGGAGAAGTTTCAAAAAAGTAAAAATACTGGAAGTGATAGTTTATGTATCTTCCAGCTTACTATTTTTGCTTCTCCTGTCATATATATTGTATTTTTAGTCATGTGTTCTGTTAGACAGTGAAACGTTACAAGCATTACAGTAGTTCTAGATAAAATATAACCAATATTTATAAGGTATACATACATGAATTTCGGGATATTGATTCAACAAACAATACATTTCTAACTCTGTAGTTTACTGTCGTTAGGTTTTCCTTGTGTTTCATAACTGCTGAATTTAAAAAGAGTATTAGGTGTATCAAATTTCACAAACACGAGTTCACTAAAATGTGCATCTTTTGGTTGAGATAAATCAATTCTTATGAAACTGAATTATTTTTCTGTGTACTAATTATGGGATATTTTGTAAAGATTTGAAATACAGCAAAATGGTTGATCAAAGAAAAAACGGGTGCTACCATCGGTCCTTCACATATTAACTGTATGTATTCACCCATTTAAGTGGAGAATGGTGTTTCTTCTTTCCGATGTATTTTGATACACCAAAAACTTCATTTTATCTTCTATAAACAGAACGTAGTTACAGAATCTATCGACCTGAAAAAAGTCTGTCCGTGTAGGTTTGAGTTCCCTTTAAAAATAATCGTAGAAGCCACTGAAATCAAATGAAAATCTCTTTAGAACACTTTGACAGTGTAAGTAATGGATCAGAATCTGTTGAAGGAGTGTAAATTGCTTATAATTTACTCAGGTTGTTGATGTTCTAGAATATAGTGTACATAAACGTACAATTTAGTCAGACATTATATCTTCGCTACTAGATTTGCTATAGGTAAAATTAAATGAATAGATAATTCCTCATTTTATATGTAGCTGTGATTTTACTAATGCACTGGAGTGAAGCGAAACACAGAAAGTTCAGGAATATTAGATAGTGAATAACACTGATTATTGTCTATTATGTCACATTTTTCAACTTTAACACTATTAAACACATTGGTTTCAGATGTCTGTCATTAATATTTTATTGCATAACTGTAAAGTCTGATGGGAAACTACTAAATTAAATTGTGTCCTGTAATCACCTCGTAATAGGAATATTCTGGGGCCAGTTTTTTGAGACTTTATGAATGTTTGCTTCTTAACAATCTCTTTTAACTTGTCAAGAAATCAATTTAACCACCATAAGTCTAATCAATGGTAACAAAATTAATCGCCTTGGTCATAATATTTCATTCTTTCTATATTTATCGATTTGTGTAATAAAAGGAATTATCTGTTTAAATAAAGTAATGCAATTTTGAGTGCCTTAAAGCCAAAATGAAGGGGAAAAATTATCTCTATAACATGTAAGCTTTTCTATCGATTTACATAACTAAAATTGGCACATCCATTGTTTCGTTTGAATGTACTAACTAACGTCGTCCTTACTGGTGCAGATGTATTCATTCAATGTAATCTCTGAGATTCATTTAGGCATCCTGTTTCTCTAAATAATTTTTCTCTCCTCCCTACTTTTTCGCTCACAATAGTTCTTTTGGACTGCTTTCTCTACTTTTGTATGCTATAGATAATGTCGTAGTTTAAACTACTGGAAAGTCTTATGTTGAAAACTTAACCAATCACTGCTTAGCACATTATATTCACTGTTTTACAGTCTCTGTTTCTTATATTTTGATAAAGTTAAAGCTGTGGAGTACTTAAAGTTAGATAGTATTGTATTCTGTAAATTGACTGGGTTATTTATGAAGCTATCAATAACATTTTAAATGAATAAACAATAGTTTATTCAGCAAGGAAATAATCAACACTCAACAATTTTATTTTCATGCTGTAAAGTTATGTCTGTATTGAGTGGAAAAGAGGCAGTGAGTAGTGTTAAAACTACTCAGTGTTTAGAGATTGATGTAACTGTCAGCAAGGGTAGGGTAGAGTCGAATGAGGGAGAGAAAGGGGTTACAAAGAAAGCAATTAGTTTTATAGGGCATTGGCCTGTCAGAACAATTTGAAATGATACTGAAGGTGACAGTAATAATAATAACTATGGTGAAGAAAAAATGAAGTAGAATGAAATTAACCAAAAAGAACAACATTACAGCCAAGGCAAAGAAAATATTCTTAAAAAATACATAACAGAGTGATTAATGCCGACTTAACTAAGAAAAATGTCATCAATAATTTTTCTTTTTGACATTGTCTAAATACTGTCCCTTAAGTGGCACAGTAAGTCATAATTTTTCACTGAGTATAGTTATTTTAATATTTATGTAGTGTTTAACGACTGAAAGTGAAATGAAAATCTGAGCGGCAGCAGGATTTCAACCAGCGGCTTCTGAGCTACTAGTTCAGCGTTCCATTACTTGAGCTATGCGGCTTATCCGTTAACCAGTATATCATTTCACTGCAGAAAACAAGGGGTAATGCCCAAATTTTGCACGAATCGGCAATACGTCACATTATCTGTTTGGCTAGAGTTTTGTGCTGTTACTCCTAATCATTGCTAAAATTAGACGGAGAAGAAAGGGTTATTTGTTTTGTTCTCCATGTAAAAAGTATTCTAGCTTCTCACTTGATATATTTGTTTTTTTTTTATTAGACAATGGGAAAGAAGCTGGAAATATCGAAAACTCCTGAAGAAAAGCTAACAGAAAATGAAATGACAATTAATGAATGCGCTTTAAATTCTTCTGATAAGGTAATTAAGAAGAAAAGAATTTTAAGAAACTGAACATTGAACTGTTTATCTATTTAGGCAACTGATACAATATTTCATGCACTTTGTGAATGTCTTGCCTTAAGTAGAATTATATATGAAGAGAAAGATTGGCATAATGCTCAATATTACTGCTGTCTTGGTTACTTTTATATAACGTACAAAGGTCATAGTAAGTTCAGTGTTTGGTAAATTTTGTGTTCATATGTACTTGTTGAATTGAAATAGAAGCAATATGTACGAGTGTACAGCATGATAAGTTATATCACTCAAAATACTTCGCAAGCTGGTGGGTCACTTATTGGTTACACACATACCCCACTAATAAAACATAGTAATCTGATATTGAAATTTTATTTCTCATACACTATTACTTTTCTGAAGCCTGCTACCCTTTTCTTCTTCAACATATGATGATAGATAATATCCTCAGTTTCTTTTGCCTGAGACTTCACTCCTCACTTCTCTATTCAAGATTTTGGCAGATGATATCATACTAAACATTGTTTATACAGCCTTGTCAGTATCACACACTACAGTGCTATCAGCTATAATTATAGTGCTAAGTTTAGTAGCACTTATCATACGCTAATCGAGGGGAAAGTAATTAAAGGGAGTTCAGAATCTTGCTTGCATTGGCTGAAAGTCAAATGTTTAAAGCATGGGTATTATGTTTTTCTGTCATTAGCCTCTAAATAGCTCGCATTTTTTCATTTTACCTTTTAAATTAAAATCACTTTTATCAGTCCCTTGGCGAGCCTTTTGCTTTATTTTCACTTTATTTCACAGGTCCCTCTCCAAATGCCTATTAGTTTTCTAAAATTAGAAGCGATTTAATTGTTAGGTGAAGTCAGAATAGGTAAAGGGTATGTCCAGATTCAAGGTCATGATGGGTTTCCGTGTCGACTGGCTTTACGTTTTCGTGCATTAGTTTCTCTTTGACATTTACAGGTTTAGAGGGTTACCGACAGTAAAAGTCAATTGCCGAGTCTCATGAATACATCATTCCAGAACCCCATATGTTTGGAATTCACAGATTCTTATTTACTTCGTACACTTCCTCTGATTTGGCTGAAGGATTGTAATGGTAACAAACTAGTGGTTAGTTTGTTACAAGAGAATGTCTATCCAGTACCATGAACCCCAAAAAATTTTCAGTTTCATAAGATTTATGATATGTTTTGTCTCAGACTAACAGTTTATGACCTCAGCATTAATTGCTTCTAACAGAGATTATCTTTCCTAATCAAAATGCTTTCTACTTTGTTCTAACATTTCTCAAATAAAGACGTTAGAAACCTCTGAGTCTGAATTTAATTTCTGTAATACTCATCAACATAGTATCATTTATATTCTCGATTGAATGACAGGTAATTCAAGCAGCATCAATAGCGATAGACATCATCAGAGTGCTATTCAGACACTACACTTTCTGTAGGACTAAATAACATGATACTAGTCACTTTATACAGATCTCTCAGTATAACTTATTTCATCTTCACTGTAATATCAAATTTTTTAAAATTTTCCTGCCACGTATTATGAAACTCTACGACTTTCGATTGCATCTCCTTCATTTAATCGTCTATTTATAATTTTGCCTTTTGCTTAATATGCGGGTATGACAAGTGGCAGCTAGGTGCATTTTGAATGTATACTACTATCCCGTGTTCATGATCTCTGTTAATCTTTCTTAACCTGCATGAATCTAAATACTGTTGACATAATGATATGACTAGATAGATCCCACTCATCGAAATGAGTAGGGCTAATTAGTCAGATCGAAACGATCCAAACACCAGACAGTCCTTTGGATCGTTTGGGGGCAGGGACCATCAGGGATGTACCTGGTTTGACTTAGATCATAGAGCTGAATAATTTCAAGTCACTTAAAGTTTAGATAGCTATTTAGGTGGGCGCGTCATAAAGAGCATCTCAAACAAACTACAGACCTTCATTAACAGTTGTCTTCGCTCAATACCACTCAAGATCAGATGGCTGGCCAGAAAAGATCGGCAACAGGGATCTCTGGGAGCGAACCAACCAGGAACCGATTGTGAAACAAATAGGCAGGAAGAAATGGAGATGGATTGGCTTGGCCATACTCTAAGGAAATCATGTAGTGACGTCACTAGACAAGCCATTGCTCGAGTGGAACCCGAAAGGGAAGCGGCGAGTTGGTCATCAGTGAAAGGGTGACTTGGAGGAGGTGATGTGAAGAGGAGATGAAAACGTGTGGGCAGACTTGGAGCCAGGTGAAAACTCTAGCAGAGAACAGAACGCAATGGAGACGCACGGCTGAAGCCCTGCGTTCCTGTAGGAATTAAAGGATACAATAATAATAATAATTAGGTGGGCCAGTAATTTACTGGATCGAATTCGCAATTCATAAATTAATTGTCCATTTGTAGTTTACACAGTTCGAGGTGAAATTCCTCAACTCGCTCCATTTCATCCAAACAAACAATATGGGAGTTTGACCATGAGCACTGGTGATGCATATGCATTAGTTTACTGAACCATATGGAATTCCTTTCACACACGCAGTGTCAACAATATAGTCTGGTTATTAATAAAGGAAACTGAGCTGACTGATAACACTATTTAGAATATATTTTTTGTCCCAAGGTGGCCACTATACATACAATAATCCATAAGAATTTTCAGAAATCACTACACAATACTCTTAGCATTTTGTGTATTGTTTTTGTATTTTTATATAGAGTATGCATTACAAGCTGAAAGTCATGCAGAGAAGGCTGTCAAACTGTTATCGCATACATTGAACTCAGTTAGTGAAGAGTCTACAAATGATTATCATAGCAATAATAATTTCATTATCTCTTGTCTGATTCTACTGAGTTATTATACACTGGCAAAATCTAAATCAATTCAACAAAAGTTAGTAAATCATTTACATATATTTTGAAGTGTTTGAGTTTATAAGGAAATAACTGACTATAAGGCAGATTTCGTTGCCGAACCGACGTCGTTTATAGAATATTGGTACAATGCCACTGTTATCGGCAAGTATTTGTTCTTATATTCGACCAACACTGGATATGAAAATTAGTCCAGTGCTTGTTATTGATAGAAGACGAGATGGACTTTCTAGTACCATGATGAGAAGTTGTGATCAATGGAATCCGTCACTTCTGGTATGAGGGTTAATACTCACCTAAGACAGTGGATGCCACTAGTGGTATACTATAAACTGAATCAGTTACTGAACAGTAACATGACCAACTCGTTAAATGAAGGCCCTGTGTTTGATGTGGTCTAAGGCGGAGATTCCGTGAGGAAGATTCCCAAACTAGAATAAAACATCCATGTGATGCTCTGTCGTTTTTAATGGTTCTCTAACTGATGTCGATTCTTGACGAAATACGCCTTGAAATTCACGTATATGTATGCATTGTATTATATAATTAATATAAAATTTTGATGCTTATCAGTTGGATGCACATCTGATTACTTGCTAATAAGGTATACAACGTGGTGAACCGACCACTTATTAACTTTATCCAAATATCCCTTTTTGTGAAGTTCTCTGGGCAATCATTAAACCATATACAAGTTACTTTACAGGTTTCTCTTAACTATTTAGCGTTAGAAGCGTCGGTGTTTCATTGCCAGACTACTCCTCAGCCACCAGGGAAGTCTAGACTCCATTCCCATTTGATGTAATCCTAAGCGTCGATGGTAGCAAGCCCGAAAAAGAGGGAAATTTGGTTTGAAGGCTAGCAACCCAGCCTTTTAGAAATAACACGAGCGCTAGTGAAACTTCAAAAGCTTGAAGACTTATATTCCACCCGAAGTACATAGGAATGAAAATGAAATTTATTTTGGGCTATATGAAGAGGCGTTATTCGGTTGATGGAAGAATGTAAGATGTGTTTTCCGTCCTCAAGGCATCGCCAGATATCTGTGATATGAATCGACATGATTATTAAATAAAGAAAAAATCAAGCATTTACGCTCAGTAGGGTTAAGCAACTAGAAATTAAAAATAATTTTAACAGATTGAATATAAGTAGTCTATATTACATAAATTGTTTGTCAATATTAATCTATGAAGAAATGAACTTCTGTTTCTTTGTCGCTATTTGTTTTAATATTTTGTTTATTTCGTTAGAAAAAAAGAAGCGCTCAGTTTAATCAACCAAACTGAGAAAGCACTATACAAAGCTGAAAAACAATTTGATTTAATTCAAAATGCCAAACATTTTACTGGAAGTATTGATGATCACAACAAAACTTCAGAGGATTCAAAGAAAATTCTGGAAGATTATTATGAACAGTGGGATCACTGTAATTTACTCAGACTTGACAAGAATTTTTTCCCAAATTTATTTCGTCTAAAATTACGTATTTATAACTTGCATGGAAAGTAAGTAATCCACCACTGTCAGCTGTCCAGCTTAGTAGTATAAAACACTGATTGTTAAGTGTTAAAAGTTGGTCAGTGTGAAATCACTTAACATATATTTCAAGTTTTTCCAACACATATAAGTGAATTAAATCTGCAAAGTGAAGAGAATCCAGGTTTCATTACTAAGTACTAAAACTAAAGATGGATTGGCCATACTCTGAGGAAACCACCAAGTGACATCACTAGACAAGCCCTCCAGTGGAACCCGAAAGGGAAGCGGCGAGTTGGTGGTCCAAGGGTGACTTGGATGAGATCATGTGAAGAGGAGATGAAAACGTGTGGGCAGACATGGAGCCAGGTGAAGACTCTAGCAGAGAACAGAACGCAATGGAGACGTACGGCTGAAGCCCTATGTTCCTCTAGGAATTAAAGGAAATAATATTAAATAACAAAACTAAAGACTAAGTCATTAATTCATCCTCATCATGCTTGTCCCTTAGTAAGGGTGGATAATTTTCACATTATGCTTAGTTTACTATAACGTAATAAATTGCAATTTTTCCCTTTATGCTAGTTGTTCAGTGGTTGACTGTCGTCCAACCACACAGGCAGTCTGGGTTCAATTCTCAGCCGACTCGGTCACAAACCTCACTTAGTTTACTAGCCAGTAGTAAGACTGCGAAAGAAGGAAGGTTGGGCATGAGGCTAGCAACACTAACGTATAAAAAGGACACCAATACTAGTGAGATTTCCGAAGCCTGAAACTGTGTGTTTCAGTTAGGACGTAAGCAGTGAGAATACAGAAGGTAGTGTGTGATAAAAGTCTCTACATTAGAAACCCAGCCGTTTAGTCTACGCGAAAAATAATGACTTAGCATCTAAATTACTCATCACATAATGTACACACTGTCTGCATTCTTTTTGAAATGTTAGACATTAGGTGGTCATTTTTCCTGAGTAACGTCTTAAAATAGATTAAATAGTGAAAGTGGCCTTTCTAAATGATTTATTTTTCGACACCAAGTCACCCTATTGTTTGTATGTAATTGCACCCGCTTCAGCAAATCACATTTTCTTAATTATTCATCTGTTAACCAATGAGTCACTCCTTTGAAATCTGGTTCTTCTGCAAAGTTTTGAGTAGCCGGGTGGTGTCATTGGGGGGCGGGTGGAGGGGAGTAGGACACATTGTCAAGTGTATGAATATACATACGGTTTTTTATTGAATAACATGTTTCACATGTACACCTTGTTTATGTTCGGATTCGTTGCTTGACCATGCATATGCTGCAGTCCGATAGGATTCAGTTTAAAGAGAATTTTGTAAAAGCCAAAATAATGATACAAATAACACACACATATTAACTTTGATTTTCCAAATGTTAAAACTATGTATTTTTCATTGAACTGTTACAACTGTTGAAACGGCAGAATATACATAATCGCAAAAGTTATAAAGTCTACTTCAAACCGCTGTCATTTTAAATGGATTATCAAATAGGTGTGAGCTTTTTAATGGAAACAATCGAGACTCCAAGAATACAATAACCAGTTGTGTGACGTATAATGAAACAAAAGTTAAAAAAGAGTTAAAGTTAGTTCAGTAAGTGAGCAAAATGTATTTTGGTTGATGGTTGTGTATTTTGTCCCGTTTGGAAATCGTCATCTGGATGTACCTGCATATTCAGTGAGTGACTGTGTTACCATGGGAACATGAAACCTGCATCCATCCTTCCAAACGCCGAAACGCTACCCATTGGGTCATAAGATCCATCTCTTGTGTAACACATATCTGTCGCATTTGTTTTAAGGGTGATTCATATTTCTCATGGAGAAGTTCTATCACAGTCAACCAAAATGAAGTCATGTTAATACCCAGACATCATAAAATTATTCGCACTATGGGCCGACATGTCAGTAGACACTGAGCACTTCGATTCAACACGAGCAATCAATCGTAAGTACAAAGTGACCGGAAAATAACTAATTCATCAACTAGCCTGACTGCTACCATTTGGCGGTAATCATTTATTCGAAGAATTGACAACCTGGAGATTAACTCAAACATATTACTAAAGTGAACTTAGAGACGTTTAAAATATATTCCGTGCCCACTATGTGTCTAGTGATTAGAAATAGTGGAATATGTGTCTTTTTAAATACAGAATCTTTAGAATGCTTTGACAAAATTGAAAGGAAGGTTTTCCCTGCTACTTCAGGTGAATATAGGACCTAAGGTACAAGTGAAATTGTGGTGGTGTGATACAGACAATGTGTGCCAACGGAATATTATTCTTACATATTCCCACAGTTCAAGTCGGCAATAGCAATAGAATACGATATATCTATTTGAACATTCTGTTTGATGTTAGAGACAGAATACATTTCCCACGGTTATATACTGCATTAACAAAAGAATACTATAATAATAATAATAATAATAATTTTGCTTTTTTTTGTAGATTGGAACATTCTATTTCATGTTGTTTGATGTAAACCAAAATCACACGCTCAGTGATTGGTTAAAGAATATAAACAGCGGTTTGATCAATGGAAAGTATACCTCGGCTTCCGTGTCTTGCCTTCTTTTGTTACAAAATGACTTGAGCAGATCATTCATGAACTTTGTGCTGGTGAAGTAGATATGAGGCTTCACATACTGAAACAAGTTTCTTCACGGCTAAAACGTTTTCAGTATTATGTAGCATATTGTTTAAATATCAGACGCATACAAGTCTTATTTTCCAATGCTTAAGTATGCAGTTATCTGGACTCGCTCTTCTCCATACTCCAAGACAACGATTTTAAGAAATCCAGAGATAATTATTTCTTTTTTATTGCTTATCTCGCTAAATGTAATTCCTCAGGTCTGTTTAAATTTTTGGACTAAGCCAAACTTGTATTTAAGAGAACAAGTGCTTATTCAGTGCAACCATTTTCTATTTCAAATCTCCTTACTTCTTTAGAATTGCATGTGAAAATGAAAAATTTGAATTGTCTTATGAAAATTACTTAAAAGCATTAAAACTTATTGAAGAGAAATATGATGCAGAAAGCAAGGAAACAATACCCATTTATCAAGCTCTTGGCCGAGTAAGTATCTATTATTCTCTTAGATTCCGTGTGGAACATAAGACTTCAACAACAAATCTCCATTTAAAAAAATTTTTTGACTTTTGATTTTAGCTTGATTCCACACAGTATTTCAGAACAAGTATGAAATTTTCAGCATATGATATCGGTAGTCCAAATTTAGCAGGCCAACCATTGATATAAGGTGTGCGTCGGCAGGGGATGGAACCCCGACCGTGTGCATGGTCGGCGAGCGTTCTAACCGCTGTGCCACCAACGCAGTTCACCTTATCAGGCCCCACAATTGCCTTTCATGTGTCATCTCCTTTCCATACGATCTCCTCCATTTCACCCTCGGACGTCTAACCCACCGTTTGCCATTCGGGCTCAAATCAAACGATTGTCTTGCTCTCTTTGTTACTTAAAGGTCCCCTCAGAGTGTGTCCGATCCATCTAAATTTTCCGTGGCATATTTGTTCAGCAACAGGTTCTTGGTTGGTTCGCTCTCATAGTTCCTCGCCTAGTTTACTAGTCCGGAAGTTTCCTGTTCGGCCGTAAGCCTGGGAAAGAGGGAAGGTTGGGCGTGGCGCTGGTGATCCTAACCGGGAAAATCAATCCAATCGCTACAGAAGCTGCTAGGCACGACAAAAATAAAAAACTTATCCTTCCCAGGAGTCGGCAAGACGGAACAACATTGAAAGCCAGTCAGCCGATATGTCTTCTTCTGATACAAGTGAAAATAAGGATGGGACTTGGAATGTTCACACAATGTACGAAGCTGGAAAGCCTGCCTAGGCTGCCAAAGAAATGAGAAGGTACAGTAAATAAGCGCTAGGATTCTGCGAGAGCAGGTGAAATGAATGTGGAATTTACAGATTATGAGCTAGAGAGTCATTATTCTACTCTGGTCAACCAGATGAAAACCATGAGTACACTGAGGGAATGGCTGTTATGATTTCACCAATAGCAACCACAGCTTTAATGTAGTGGAAACTAACCTCATCAAGTTTGACTAGGTAATTAAGAAAATCTGAAACATCATATTAAGGTATTTTGTAATAAATCCTTTATAGAATAAAAGCAATTATCCTTAAGGTCTGGTGTTTGATGCACATTCATTTGTGCTAACTACACTAACCTGATTTAAGTCATTATGATATTGACGAGTAGTCCAAAGGAAGAATGAGTTCCCGCACTCTTCACTTCTAAGTGGTATGGAAAGATGAAAACTGCTTTATTAAATAAACGATATCTCATTAATTATTTGAGGCTAGTATTAGTGAAAAATTGCATCTGCATACTTCTAGGCTCATTATTGTATTAATAAATGCTAAATTGGTACCTACCTACAAGCTATTCAAACCTCAACGGACCTTTAGTAAAATAAAATTGTGAATACAAATTAGTTTAGCTATTCATAATGTTGCACTGATCGAACTCTAGCACTTTACTTCCTGTATACTTTCCACACTTTCTGTTCGATTATTAGTTAGGACTGGACAATTACATCTTTTATAAAAGTAAGTAATTCCCATACAGGAAGTCAGATTAAATGATGATAAAAGGGGAGAGAAAAAAGTTTTAATTCACAAATTCTACTTAGACTCTTCAGCGAATTACACGAAACATCATATCCTAGTTAATTTACTCAGGAATATACAAACATGTATGTTTAACAGGGTAAAGTATCAAATGAGATATCAAATAATTTCGACAGTTTAAACAGAATTATGTGTGGTGAGTCATCAATAAGAATTGAAAGAGAACTACTTAATTGTCATAATAGCATTACAAAACTATAGAATAATCGGACTGTTAAGTGTAGTATAATAACACCGAAAAATATATATAATTAGGGGGAGTTTAAGACTTTTACATTAACCATTAAATTGTATTGAATATGGGATTGTCAAAGCTCGTACTGTTTTTTTTTCATGGAATCGGTGAGAGACGTTATCACTGACTAGTGTCCAATCAAAGTATCCAATACAGTCCTACAGGAGGTCAATCGCGAGTCTGAATAGCTCAGTAGTAATGCGTCTCCGACTGATGACGCACGAGATGACGCCGGTTTGAATCTCCGTGGTGACATGAGTTCCTTCAAGGTTGATGATACACTTTGCTGACTGGTGAGCGTCAACAAGTAGGAAACCTAAGTGCAAGGCTTCCTACCGATTGCCTCCAACCATCTAGTATGCGAGTATTCCTACAAAGTCTAACAGAATATAAAACAGTTGAAAGTATTGTGAATTCAAGTAAACCTGTAAGGATTTTATTCTGTTGTCTTCCTAAAATTAGGATAGATATAATTTCACTTTTTGAAGGAGTAAATTATTTAAAGGTGTAAAGCAGGATGCATGCGTATGTATTTGACAAACGTGTAAATATGGAGATAATATTTAGCTGATCAACTGCAATATGGGGTGAGATTCCAAGAGTTTAGTTATTTTTATTCCTCAAATAGAAGCAACTTTCATTATTGCTTTGTGGCTAATTATTCTGATATGCTTAAAATTTGGCCACACAGCTGACTGACTCTTCAGTTTGCCTCACCAAAACTTGGCAGTTAGGTTGACTTTAACGCTATCCATGAAAGTTTCGAAGTTGTGTGGTTATAATTAATATGATTATGAACAATATATTGTTTTTGAAGCGTCATCCAGTAGATTATACTGTTTCACTGTGTGGTATATCTAATAAACAAACTAATATGGAATAACCTTCTTTTCTGTTTAAATATTTGTAAAACAAACTTATTTTTTAATTCTACAGGTTGAAGAATATAGAAAAGGGGATGGTTATGGTGACAAAGCCATATCACACTTTCAAAAAGCATATGAAATTTCTAAAAGGATGTAAGTTTTCATTTTGTCTTAGAGCAGTATTAATAGTTGTCATTTTTTAACAAATAACACGATGACTCGACTATGTACAGGATACTTCTAACGGGCAAGAGTAAACAGGGGAGTAGAATCACAGGAATCCATTTTATTTCGTCGGTTCTCTTCATATGTGTACAACTTAAAGTATAATATTATGTTCAAATGTTAAATATGCTTCATTTATATTCAAGTATTGGCTGGTTACAGGATTTCATCATGAGCTAACATCGGTTAGAGAACCATTGGAAAACCTAGGAGTACTGGACACGTGTTTCGTCCTAGTTTGGGACTCTTCATCAGTACGCACCCACCGCCACAGTTCGAACCCAGGACCTTCTGGTTACAAGGCGAGTTCGTAGACCATTAAGCCACTGGGACCCGATCCAATGGCCAACGCATGAATTCTAACTTCTGCCAATTCACGATATAGCACAACCGCTAGCCAATGTCTTCGGTGAGTATTTGTCCTCACATCCGACCTGCTGCACCCTACTGGTCACGACTTTCCACTGGAACCCCAGGTAACTAGACATAGCTGTCTATTATCATTGATGAAATTCCGAATAGTTGTGGACAGGATTATGCAGAACACCATGCGTAGGTAGGGAGAAGACTGGAATACGTTGGACCGATAAGAAGACTCTAGAACATCTGGATTTCGCAGGTGACTTATGTTTAATGTCACAAAAGCTCGAAGACTTGCAGGCAAAAACCAGCAAGTTGACAGAATAAACAGCAAAGTCAGGCTTGCAAATAAACGTAGAGAAGATGGAGGTGATGAATATGACTTACCAACCAACAACAACCAGCACCAGTTACTATCAACGGGAGGAATATGAAAGTGGTCACTCCCTTCACTTATTTAGGAATCATTATTTCAAATGCAGGCAGATGAAACAGATAAGGTTGTCAAACACAGACTACGAAATGCAAGGCACACCTTCACCACTATAAAATCAGTCTGGAAATCTTCTGAATTCATCATAAAGAACGAAATTTGGATTTTCAACACTTACGTTAATTCAGTCATTTCTTCTGCTTGGGTCAGAAACTTGAAGAAAAGCATTTTTGACAGCCCGCTGCGGACTTTTATCAGCAGCTGCCTTCGCTGGCTGCAAACTGAAGATCAGATGGCCAAAAAGAATACGCAACAAGAAACTGTGGGAACAAAGCAACCAAGAATCTACTACTCAAAAATATCCCGAAGAAAACGGGGGTGGATGTGGCACGCGATGAGGAGACCGTCGGACAATATCGCGTTCTAGGCGGAGCCTCGAGTTGAACCTGAAAAGGAAACGATAAGTTTGGCTTTAGTCCTAGGATGACATGGAGGAGACCGTCTAAGGAGGAGACGGGAGACTGTAGGCAGTCGTGGGGCTGACCACAAAGGACTACAGAGAACAGGAAAGAGTGCGGATAGGCTACTGAAGCCCTACAATCTACTAGAAACCCAAAGAGATAGTAAAAATATAATAATGTATAATTGTAGGGGACGCTATTAGTCCTCAAAACGTGTACATGGTGCATTCCCCTACAAATTTGCCCACAACCATTTTACTGCTCTTGAATATTCCCACTTGCTTTCAATACCTTCTGGGTGACTTTTCAGTATGATGGCATATAATCGAAATCCATGTTTGTAGCTAGAGTAAGGAATGGTAACTTCATTGCAAGTCCGAATTTACCAATACTTTGTATTAGAAAGAAGTCTTTCGAATCTGATTGTGGTTATTATGATTAACTATAATTATTTTAAGTATTTGCAAGGAATCATAGTTAATATTTCCTCCTTATTCCCTCCTACAAATTATAAGCTTCAATGAGAAAAGTGATGTTCAGAATTTATTAGAACTAACGCGTTCAGTTTACTTATTATGCACAGCCTGTGTGAAACTCAATTCGAAGATGAACAAAGGTAAGTGACAAAGAAGTAGAGAGGTAACTGATATATACCTCACCTGTCGTGGTTTTTAATATAATATTGTTACAAATTATGTGCGTGGTGATATGTGCTACTGACAAGATTTATCAGTAGTATATAAAGAGACGTTCATCAGTACAGAAATATCAGGTAACTGAGAAATAGTAATAACTTCAAAGATAGGAAATGAACAGATACTGCGAGAAAACGTGGGAGACACGAAAAGAAGACAAAGAAACACAATACGAAGGGTAGACGTAGCAGAACACGGGAGATCTGTGCAAATGACTCTTTGCAGATAAGGTGCACTTAATTTCCCCATTTAGGGATATCAAATTCCAAATGAACACTCCATTGAGAAGCCTTTTGTCTTCTGCGTTTACAGTAGTATATTTCACTTTCACGTTTGACCACGGATTGATATCAATTAGAGAAACGTTGAAAACCAGAAAGGAGTACTGGACATCTATTTCGTCCTCGTTTGGGATTCATCGTTGGCACACACCCACAGGATTTCGAACCCTTGACCTTCCACCTACGTGACAAGTTTGGAGACTGTCTAGCCACTGGGACCCAACTTTCAAAATACTACCTAAATTAGTCAGTAACATTAAGCTAACGATATCCTTTAATCAGTTAGATTTGATATGTAAAAGTGATTTAAATACTCAGTGCATATTTTTAGCCTTTTACTTCTTTGGAGTTGGGGAGAAACCAAGTATGATTTATCTTATTCATGGATTACATTGTTCAAAGCCAGTCGCACAGAAAATAATGGCCATGGAGATGTGAGGAATCTATAGTTGTTAAACATAGATGATATAGTAGGAGTCAAACTCGTAGCAGTCAAGCACACCTAGTGACTTGATACAATCATAAAAGTTTTCTCATAAACTAAGAAACCTACATGAAATTATCATTCAGACTACCAAGATCAAAAATTGCCACACCATTCTATTTATTTTCACTGTTTTTTTTATTTCTTCACGTTCCCAGTGGAACATAGGGCTTCAAGCTAGAGGCTTGAAGTTTCTGTGGCAGTGTTTATTTTTACAGGATGGGTTTGCTAGCCTCATTCCAAACCTTCCCTCTTCACCAGCTTTTTAGTTCTGACTTAGCGAGGTAAAGGAGTGCGCCGGCGGGGGATCGAACCCCGGGCCATGTGAATGGTCGGCGAGCGTCCTAACCGCTATGCCACCGACGCTATTTTCACGGCAATTCGGAGAATTGTAAAAAGTGAATTTCGTGCTTCATGTTACATTGGGCTCTACCCTTGTCTTCGTAGTCTTCTCTACCTCACTATATTCTCTTTCTATTTTTGTTTCATTCTAATTTATTATGCTTTTACTATCAGTCACCTATGCTTTCCTGTAGCGCAACTAACTGGGGAATAAGGGTTTTTGAGATAACAGATACGCTGCGATTTGCTCCACCATGAAACATTTAACATCCAGATGGAAGAGTAATATTTCATATGACTCTAACGAGTTGTTTAAAATTTTTAGTCAAGCTATATTATTATTTTCATTCATTCATTGCTTTCCGGGTGGAGCACAAGGCCTCAGCAGCACATCTCCAATGCATTCCATTCTTTACGATTACTTTCGCTTGGCTCTAAAACTGCTCAAAAGCTTTCGCTGCCTCTTCACATGATCTTCTCCATCTATCCTAAGATACTCAACTTGTTACTGCACATTCAACTTCCATTCGAGGGCCGGGCGGGTGGTATCATTTAAATTATACTTCGTAGTGGAAATATTATTCTAAATCATTAGTGAAGCATAAGCAAGTAATGACTTCTCTATCAAAACGTATTAATGGGAAAATATGAATTCCCTGTAACCAAGAGTCTTTAGTTTTTACTGAATAATTAACTCATACCACGTTGTTGATCACAAAGAGTTTATTATGACATAGTCATACTAGTCGTGCATATAGATATCCCTTGATACCAGTATTGCTGTTGACATTCCATCTGAATCTGTGTAAAACATTTGTTTTGTAGGTGTCAACATATTTTGGATTTCCTGTATAAATATACAGCTTATACTATTCATGAAGAACAATGCGTTGTTGAATGTTTTTACTTGAAATGATAAAGAGTATCTCTAGGTGACGATGTGAATGTTATTACTAGTTCGCTGCAGTGGCTATCTAGAACTCGGGTAGTTTGAAAAGATTCCGCTTTCTAGGCTGATTTTATATGGATACACTACTGATAAATGCGGCTTCAAACAACTGAAACGGTTGTGTGATTTTGTTAAGATCAATTTGATCTGGCTAGCAAGTATTACTGTTTGTTGTTATTGGCTTCGAACTACTCATACCAGTAGTATGTGCCACCAAAGAATCACAAATGTTAATTCTGCTGGAAGCTTAGATAATCTGCCCAGCGTAGGAATTTTATAATCATACACAATGAGTATTTCGCAGATTGAGGACAGATACAGTGAAGAAAAGCAATTATTACAAATTCGCATTAGTATTACTAGAAACGGTACAGTACTCAACAACCGGTCAATGAAATATTAAAAATCTCTTGGTATTATTCTTCTGTACTCCTACATTAAACTGAATCTAAAAACTATTAGGTGCCATAAAAGTCTGAAATTGCAACAGAGTTTGAAATTAGGGCGTGTATGTTCTAATCTGTTGAAATCTTTAAGCACGAGCTTTTTCGAGGAAGCCTTTATAAACACAACACAATAGTTTCAGAAGAAGTTTAAACATTCAGTATTTTTTCTAGCTAACAATACTTCCTTTAACTTCTACTAATTCAAGATTTTTAAAAATATCTTGAAAATAACTAAATCTCTAGAAAAGTTTCCTAGAGGTTTTCTTCCATTAAACTATATACTACTGATTGATTGAGAGAAGTAGCTGCATACCGTTCATACCAACCAGCAGTGATTGCTGGTCAGATCGAGGTGACCTAAATTATCACTCGGACTGTGTAAAGTGCAAATTGGGAATTGGATGTATTTTAGTTATGAATCAAAGTTCATTGAATACAAACACCCTGAATCACTTTTTTTTCTACTATAAGACTTTTCATCTAAATTACTTGTTAATTCCTTAAAATAAATAACTTGACTAACAGTCAGTTTCATGAATGACCATTGTATTAATTGACGAGACATTATTGTTATCTCCTTTTATGCCAGTTATTTAAGGCTGACATAATTACTTCAGTAAGTGAAGTGATTTTAACACACAACCAGTTCACCGACAGAGTTTGGAATAACAGCTAGTACAAACTCATGGTAATGTTTTTGAAAGAATTTGCCCATCCTGTATAACATTACCAAAGTGTGATTATTAGATAGGATCCAGCGGAATGTCACTTCGATGAAGGAATCTCCTTTGATAGCCTCAAGGAAAATTCCTGAAGTAACCTGGGGTGGTGAGGGAATATAATCTAATTCAGTTGCTCGAACAGTTGATGTTTAAGTTGTGCGTTTTTTCTCTGTTTAACGAGCGTTTCTGTTCTGAGTCTGCAAACGTGTCAACATTTGCTTATAATAGTCACTGGAAAATGTTGTATTTATTTACTGATCAATAGTTGAAGAATTACTCGGGGAAACTTTACAAGCTATAGCTACATTTTCTGTAACAAATAATCAACATTCGAATGACAACTCAACTGATAATGTTATCACTGAATCTATGGATTTACCACCTACAACAGATGAATCGCCTTTAAATCATCATGATTCGACAGATCATTTCGTTAATATAAATAATAAATATTCGAATGAAACTGTTATCAAATTAACATGTACCTTGCGTTCATTATTAGTGAAAATATACATTAAACAAAACCATTTTCAAGTAAGTACACATACAACTAGAGTCTTTTTTAATTGTTTTTTTATTGATTCCTAATAATTGCTTTACTTAATAAAATGAATCACTTCATATTGTTAAAAATTTCAAATTAACGCAAAAATAAAGTTATTTAATAACAGTATTGAACATTGGACAACCAAGATTTGTGCCTAAATACCAAATTATGGATAAGTTTAGGGGCTTGATTATATTTTTTAATGAAATAATAAAGTTGAGGACTTTATAGAGGCAAGAAAACAGTTTACTAGTGAAAAACTTCAGTACTCTTACAATAAAGTTTTTCAGTTGGCTGTCAACATATAACACAAAGAATTGAAGCTATAAGCAAGGGTAAACGCAGTTCTGGAATACAACGGGAAGCTCGTCGAGGCGTTTGAAGCGAAGACATGAGTAATTCAAGGCTTTCTATTACCACCTATGATCTTCCTCAGTGTGATCCGCTAGATCAAGCTCCAGACATTAAGAAGTGGGAAGACGAGCACATACTGAACTGAAAAAAAGGTCCAAGAGGATCTGGACATCACGGATGACTTATTTCACATTTTGAACAAACTCAAACGTTTACAGTTAAAAGCCAACAAGTTGGTAGAACAGGCAGGTAGCGAAGATAGTGGTTCAATTAAACACAGAGTAGGGAGAGGTGATGAAGATACCCTACCAACCACAATAAACACCAATCACCATGAGTAGAAGAAATCTAAAGGAAATATCTCCACCTACCTATGTGGCATCGTTTCAACTACAGGTGACACAGATTGAGATATATAGGTCAGTCAGGATGATGAATGCAAGACAGATGTCCATGACTGTAAAATTAGTATGAAGATCTACTGCACTAAGCATAAGAAGCAAGATCCACATTTCCAACACTAATGTCAAGTTAGTGCTTCTGTATGGTGCGGGCACGTCAAAAAAGCCGTTTTTAACAGCTTGACCCCATACTTTCATCAACAGCTACTTTCACTTGATACTCAGAAGGCTAATCAGAATAGATAAGCAATAAGGGATTCTGCTAAGAACCTATGACCCAACTAATATGCAGGAGGAAATCCAGATGGATTGGGCGTACACTGAGGATACTGTTGAGTGGCATCACACGCACAGACACTTGAGCGGAACCCGAATAACAATAAACGTAAATTTGGGCATTTGAGGGTGACACAGAGATCATATGAGAAGGCGATGGTTAAAAGTTATTGCAGAGAACTAGGTACAGTGGAAATATGTCACAGATGCTCTGTATTTTACTTGGAATAAATTAAAAATGAATGACAGTATAATAATGATTGTTTACTTATATATATATATATATATATATATATTTAAACTTTGAAATGATAATTGAATTTCAACTTGTGAACTACAGGAGGCATTATACCTACTACAAGAAAATTTGAATATTCAAGAGGATATATATGGAATGTATAATGCAGATGTCATAAAAACACGTCAGTTGATCTTGTCCATTCATATGGTTCAAGGGAATTTCTCTGAAGCAGTCAGCCAAGCAGAATTGGTAAGCATGTAAAGATTTTCAAGAGTATTACAGGTTCTGTAGTAGTAAGTATCGCTAAATTTGTAGGGAATCGAATCTATTTTTTAGCAGTGTGAATTTTTCGACGTATGTTAGATTAAGATACAAAACATTTTTAACTTGACTAATGCTGTACGTTAGTGGTACCGTAGTGGAATATTCGCCGGCCACGCCAGAGTACCGGCGTCAATTCCCGGCCGATGGACTCTTAAACCTCACATAGTTAAATAGTTGGTAGTAAGCTTTGCTAATTTTAAACGGATGAACTTAGTATCACACAGTTTCATATTAGAAATGAATGACTGTGTTCAATTAAATGCACTTGGGCATTAAAATAATAATAATAGAGTTGGTGGAATGACGTCGAAAAGTAAAATAATAGGATATGAGTAGAAATGAGACATCATGTATAGGTAAGGTAAATCAAAAGATTGTTAGATAAATAAATAAATAATAAATAAATTTATTCTCATAGTACAGTACATGAGGGACGCTAGTTTACAGGCATCATCAAATTGTTACAGAAATAGAACCATATAATTCAATCACAATTTACAGGCAGTAGCAAGATATGCTTTACATGTTCGCTGGAGATTATACATACACTTGATAAATGTTAATCCCAGTAAGTAAAAACAATATCGTTTTGTTTTTCATTCATTGGGAAATACAAAAACCTTTATTATTATAATGGTTAATCCCAGTAGTATAAAATGGCCTTTTCACTTATATACAATCATTTCTGTGCACAGTTGGAAAAATCTGCTAGATTGTCAGTGAGTGCAACACATCAGGAAATACAGAAGTATTGTCTTCGCATTAACAAAAAGAACCAGGTCTTTGGTGGATGGATTATAAGTGCCTGGGAAAAAAAATAAAGCTTGAAGTCAATTTTCATACATCACTTTGTTGTGTGCAGAATCCTTGAATTATAGTTCATTGATGTGTTATTTTGAAATCAGTGATAAGTTTACCTCATTTGATCTGCAATGTTATTGTTAGGAGTGAATACATAAGCTTCAGACGCATTAATGAATGGATTTCTACTGCTTGTGGGTAACTTTCTTAGCGTGAGGAAGGCTTATGAATTTCAGCTGTTCCGACAGGAGTTGAGAATATTAACTGCTCAGCAACATTATGGATATAAGTTCATCACATTATCTAAGGAAAGATGGGTTGCAGTTGGTGATGGATATATGGTGCCCAACGAGCGTAGGATAATTAATTATAAGTATAGCTCCGACATTACGTCTAATCGCTTAACAATCAACATAAACTCGCCTTGAAGACTTTTTAAGTTAGAATAGCCAAGTTTTTGAAAACTCTGCAGTATCTTATTCTTAATCTTTCATGCTTCAGCTCTTGTCGACTCATCAAGCAGAATCTGGTAATTGCAGATACTTGTGAAAAATCAGGAGAAATCCCATTGCTTTGTTATCCTGCTTAGTATGATTGATTATTATTTATTTTATTTCGTTACGTTCCAAGTGGAACATACGGTTTCAAGCTTGAGCTTTGAAGTTCCAGTAGCAGTGGTGCTCTATACGGGATGGGGTTGCCAGCCTTACGCCCAGCCTTCCCTCTTTGTGGGGCTTACAACCGGTCAGTGGATGCTAAGTTGTGCGTCGGCCGGGGATCGACTCCAGATCACCTGCACCAAACAAAGGACTAGAAACATCACATTAGTCACAAACTAATATCCAATCAGTTTAACCAATACAGTCTTACAGGAGACCAGTCGTGAGCCCAAATAGCTCAGTGCTAATGTGTCTCTGAGTGCAACGCTGAGTGACATGAGTCCGAGTCTCGGAAGAGATATGAGTTCCATTAAGGTCGCAGATACGCCTTGCTGACTAATAAGTGCCAACTAGCACGAAACCTAGGTCCAAAATGTAGGTATGTCTGTTGCCAGAGGGGAATTGGCAATACCTCAGAGATCAAAGCATTCGTCACTGCGTTTTGTAAACAAGTGCACCTATATTCATTGCAGCTAACATCCAATAGAACCGGGCTAGAAATAACAATTAGTGCTTGAAATAGTGTTATATAATATTCAGCAGTGAATGATCTCTATCAATACCATATTTATTGTGGTCATTAGGCAAATAGAACCACTACTGAGTTGCATTCTGCTTGAGTTTGATGCTAAAAAGCAAATAACGTGATTCCCGTGATCCCGTCGCCTAGTAGTCACAGGTTTGATCCATGGTGTGGTTGTAAGCGATCACTGCTATAGAACTCTCAACTTGGACCAAATAACTGTCCTGTCCTCCCTCACTTTTACTGATTCTCTAACCGATGTCTCTTCGTGACAATATCTACCTTGTAAGTGGTTATTTCATACATAGAATTCATTTAGTACCGTTCTAAACACTGTCTTAGCATTTTCATTTTTAATAGAGTGTAATATCGACAATATTCGATGTAATTTTCAAACTTTCAGTAATTACAACTGTCTTGAAAAGGGGGACTTGAATATCGTTTTACAATTATTTACAGAAACAAATTCTAATAAGTTTGTCATAAATTTCACTGTCATTCACTCATAGATACTTTTTAATCGGTTCTAATAGCCGATTATGCAAAATTGTGACCTGATTCTACACTGCATTGTTATTAGTCTTTAGATTCAACACACAACAGCAGAGTGTTGATAACTGAATGACGTTTCGAGTAAAATGTATTGCTTATAATCGTACAGTTGTACTCACACGACTTCCCAACTTGTTGTATACAACTTTATCCCCTTTCGTTTCCGGAATAGAAATTATATGCAGACACACGGCTCAAATTCTTCTCTTATATACTATTTATACCATAGATATTCAATCATCTCCTAGGCGAGCTAACAGCTTCATCTATCCTGCTTTAACATACGTCAATTACATTTCATGTCATTGTCAGCTAATACAATATCTAGGACATAGTAATCAAACATTATCAATTTAAAATAATTTCAGCTGCTAATGTGTAGTATGTGCTACTATTATATACATCTGAGTAGTATATCGACTGACAACTTCAGACAAACAACTCTTATTTCTCTGTTAATGGTAAAAGTCAGTGAAGAAGAGACGCGAGAAGAATTTGATAACAGACTGAGAAGAACCTAACAAGAAACAGACTGAGATACTTGCGAGATGTGTGGTCACTGTGTGGCGACCTGAAAACATATCAAATTATATGTTCACGGAAAAAAGGAAGGAATTGAACCTGAAACCTTGAACCGCGCGCAAGGAACGAATCGTTCGCCCTCTCTCCGGCTGCTCGCCCAGCACATCTGCTGACCAACGCTGTCTCGCACTGGTTGACACATCCCCTTCGAGAACTTCGCTCCTATCTGCCTTACTCTACGTGGAGACTTCCGACGGGGGACAGCGCTAAGTTGTAGTGGAGAATTTGTATAATCAAGAGAAGGACAATTACATTCCTATAATTTCGTACGTCTATAATTTGTGTATTTTGTGACTGTTATAGTTTTCTTCAAATAACCTCAGTCCCTTTTTTGTGTATATTAACTTAAGTGAACCGAATATTTTATATATACGTATTTGTTAGTACTTGTTCTCTCCTTTTAATTGCGTTTATATACTTATCTAGCTACTAGGTCCACTATAACTGTAAGGTTAATGATTTTTTTCAGTATGTATTGTATTTTTTCACAATAATCATTACTTTCAGCCTCAAGAGTCCTTCAATTTAGTTATAAAATGCTAAAGATAACAAATAATACTTTTAAAACAATATTTTCCCCTTCGTCTTCCTTTTCTGGATTTAGTGCCTTAGTCTTGAGGAATTTACTTTTGGTGTCAAATCGAAACAAGTAAAGAAAACTAAGGAAATTTTAGAAGCCTTATCAAGGTGTGTTATAACTTTGTCATACATTGTATTACATTTCCCAGTGCATTAAGTAGCTATTTTCTGATTCCCAGTATAGTACTGAGAAAAAAATTTTCCGTGTAATTTCGTGGATGTGATAGGGAAAAGTTAAAGTTTATGTGATCGCATGTCAAAAATGGGTAGTATGAGTAGTTGGAAAGTTACTACGTACATGCTGACGATGTCTGAGGATTAACATAATACTATCTGGTTGGTGGTGGTTAGCAATAGAATGTGGTACGTCTGAAACAACGGGTATCAGGTTCAAATCCAAGTGGCAGTATCACCTTTCACTGAGGATTCACGTACACCCAACTGATAGGTTCGAAAAAGGATGAAACTTGCCTCATGAATTTCACCGCCAGTCACTATCAACTAAAGCAAAGATTTTTTTCTTTAACTCTTTCAAATAATGAGAATTTTATGCATATTAGATGTAAAATAATTCATCAAATGTGTAGTACTAAGGATATGAATGTGGAAGTTTGAAACCGAGATTTTCCAAAAGGATATTCTGTTTACATAATATGTATTCTTGTAACAAAATCTTGAATAGTGTTACTGTTTTAAGTTTTCCTCGCCAAAGGAAAGGATAATTTCTGCGATGTCATCTTCTACAAATTTAGTCTAGGATTATTAGTTCGAAAGTTATTAGCCTCAGATATAAACGGCAGACAAACATGTAGAACATTAGAAAGATTCGAACAGATACAAAGAATCAGTACAAATGGTTTCAGTTTCTTCAGAGTGGCCATTATCAATCAGACGGAAAAACTGAAATATTAGACAAGTCTTCCCCCTCCCCTTCTCCATCTATGATGCTTGATGTGCTGTGACACGTTAGCTAACTCACTAAAGAATTCATTTAAGACTGTTTAAATCTTTATTAAAACTTTGATCACATTGGTATTCCGATAAAAGTGAACTCTTGAGAAAGCCACCCTGCAACTGATCTTCCTTAATAAAAGGTAGAACTTATAATTATGTCTCAAGCTTATTTTCGTTATTAACGGTCTTATTCAGATATCATATAAAAGAATAATACTTAGATGTCACTTAATTATAACTCTTGAAAAAAATTTGTCACAGTTCCTTTCAATATCTACTTGGGATCTACCAAACAATAGTTGCTTCAAATAATGTGAATACAGGAAGAAAGAATTAAATTTCCAAACTGTGTAATATCTTTTGAAATTACTTAATTTTAACTTAGTTATTACCCTCGGTTAAAAGTAAAGGAGTACAGAGCATTTGTTTCGTTCCACATTCGAAAGATGCCCAACTGTAAGCACCAATTATCCTATAAGTGACTCAGCCAAAAAACATCAATTCCTACAATCAGTATGTTAGGTTCTACTCACTTGGTCTGAATGTATTTATTCGAAGTTCTTGATGACTTTATATATATATATATATATATCCTAATTATCAGCACCCCTGCCCATAATCAATGGAAATCTGTCCTCCAGTCTTGCATGGTTGGTTCTGAATTATTGTTAAATAAGCTAGGTGATGTAAGCATCTGAGGTAGTCTGCAGTTTGGCACACCGTTAATGATGGAGTAGGTCGTAGTTCTAATCTTGCCGCTACTCTAATTTTCATTTCATTTTCAGTCTTCATCCATTAAATAAAATAAATTAAAATATTTACGAATTGGTACTTTATTCAGTGAATTTGTGTTTATTTATTGTTTCATATTGTTACCTAACAGAAAGTAAATTGAAAAGATAAGAAAATATTTGTAGCCTAGATGGGTGATTTTGTTGTGTTTTATTTTCTGAAATGGGCGGTTTAATAGCGCAGAGTTTAATGTCCTTTACTTTGAAGTTAGTACTGAAAGTGTTTCAGTTGTCAGGGAAACCGTACGGCTCAAACAGAGAATCACTAATAGAGGAAATTGAGGTATTCGCTGGAAAACAACTTTCTTCACCATTAGTTGGTATAACTCATGCTTTATAATAATAGTTTATTTTTTAAAGTTGCGCCTTCCTTTTCGCTTCAGATAATCAACTATTTAACCATCTTATTTATCTGAAAATCGATGTAGCCTGATTTTCATTGGATAGTTGGCCTCCTACTGGTCTAAAATATTTGTCAAAGAGGGAAGTTTTTTTATTTTCACACAAATCGCTACAGGCAGAAAGACAGTGGAAATAAAGGCTTACCACATTATCCTGGCGCGTGAATTTCTTCCGGTGTGCGAGTGTAGTGTGATGAGTCACATACTGTTTGAACGCATTAGTGGTTTTAAAATTACATCGTTTTATACTCCCACCAGAAGCGTAATTACTTATTTTAGGCTCACATTTTTGTCATAGACTTCTAACATTTTAAAGAATAGTTGTATGATATTGTTGTTAATTTATACTTTTTACCTGCTTTTCAGTTACAAGAAGAGTGGACAAATTTCAAATTCGACCCACTAAATCAGAAGATAACATGGCAAACAATGAATATTTAAAATCTCTCTGTATCTACCCTGTTTTGAATTAATCTTGTATATATTCTATATAAATAAGACTATTTGCTTGTAATAAAACAGTTAAACACTGCCTAAGTAATGAGGTGCTTTTTCAACTACAGAAGGAAATCGAAGGCTACAGAGTTTTTATTGGATTAGCAAGCATTTGGTGGCAAATATACCCTTTAACTTTACCTGAACTTCTGTGTTAAGTGAACTCAAAAGTTAAGCGGAAAACTGACTTTCTATTTAGTGCATTATAATTATTTCGAAAGAGAAAGAAAGACCAGATTTGCAGTATAAAATGATATCATTCTATTTCACAGGTTCTCATCAACTGCAAACTACCTGAAATTACAATGGTTATAAATAATAACATTTCATACTTCATTGTTTGAAAGGTAATACAGAAAGCATTATAAGATGAACGCATCCGGAATATAAGGATTAAAATTTTTGTAGTTTAAGTTACCATCAATTTATATACTATCAAACTATGAAAAAAGGAAGAAAAAGTGGGATGAGAGAAGACAGAAAACAGAAAAATCTAATAAACAGTGTCAACATGGCAACTCAACAAGGTCAAAGTTCATCAATTTGAAAACTTGATTAGTGAGTTGAACTCACTAGTGTCTATGAGTAATCACTGTAATGAAAGTGATATGGTTACCAAGGGAGTGAGAGATTGACTACACTCTCTTTCTGTGTGCATAAGTTTGGTCTGAGACGTTTTATTGCAATTGCTTCAGCAAATCGTAGTAGATTCGCTGTCCTTTGTATGTTTAATATTTTGAAGGATTTGGAAATCTCACCAAAATGGCCTGTATCCACAAGGTGTCTGGTAACTGCACTTTGTAAATATTTGCTTCCTTTTAAGCATAAGTTTCTCGGAATATTCTCTGAAAACCGGATAGAAGCACTTCTTTCTGTCCTTCCGATGTACTTGCTGCCGCAGGTGCACATAAATTTATAAATGCAGTTGGAAGTAACATCAGCAGGGTATTTATCCAGTTTCGATTGGCTTATAGAGCATGTAGTACTGTATAGTGTCACTAGATTGGCTACAGGGAAGCATCTCTTGATTGCTCCTTTCATCCTTTTCTTAATCTTTTGCGATACTGTTTCTCCTTTGTATGGAAGGCAAATGAACACTTTCTTCTTTTCAACCGTTGAATACTTCTCTTTCTCATCTCTTTCTTTGCTGTACTTTAGGATAAATCGTTTTGGATACCCGTTTTCCTTAAGGCATTTTTCAACAAAGCTTAATTCTTCTATCTTGTTGGGCGAACATAACTTCCTAGCCCTGTCGTACAATGTCCTTACTAATCCCCGCTTATAGCTCCTGGGTTCCAAGCAGAACATGAGGCTTCAGCAGCACATCTATATTTCACTCTCTACTCTCCTATCTTTTTTAGCGGATTCGATGGCTGCACACAACCTACCCTTCACATGATTTTATAAACGTCATCCTCAGATGCCCAACCTGTCATTTCGCATTCAGGTTCTACTGGAGGCCCGCCTGGCTCATGATGTCACTCAAAGGTTTCCTCGGCATACTCCCAACCCAACTCCATTCTCACTTGCTTATTTGCTGCACGATAGCCTTATAGCTGCCTTGTTATTATTATTATATTATTGTTCTTTTGAGTTCCTAGTGGAACAAAGGGCTTCAACTGCACACCTCCACTTGCTTCTGTCTTCTGCTGTACTTTTCACCTGCATCCATGTTAATCCATACTGTTTCGGTTCCTCTTCATACGATCTCCTCCATGTCACCCTTGGACGTCCCACTCACCGCTTCCCTTTCGGGTTCCACTCGAGGGCCTGACGCGCGATGTCACCCAGCGGCCTCCTCAGCGAGTGTCCACATTGCCGGAATTCCTTACTGGTTATCCTTTCTGCCTGTTCATCCGATTTAGCTTACATACGTGGGGAAACCTAGCGCTCTTTCGTTTCAACATACATGAATATGTAGAGTGGAGGCTGCCAAATGTGACTAAAATTTCCTCAGGTAGTCAGCTTTTCATTACGTGCCTGAAGGAGTGCTTTAGTCATATCAGATGTTAGGTCCGGCTGTTTTAAAAGTGCTATGTCGATTTTTTTACGAATCTGGGATATCTGCTGTAGCTTTTGCTATACAATGCGATAAAACACTCTATGGTTGATTTTATCCTCATCCTACCCAGCAGTAGTGGAGATATGCACCGTCTCACCGTAAATTTACCTCGCTTTCTTTCCCGCGCCGCTCACTGGCTAGAACAGTGGAGAGAAATTATATGTTTGACTTTCAACAAGTAGCTGCTGTTGATTATGGTGCTGTGAAGTTCTGTAATACGTGTGTAGCACCGTGGTGGTTTCAGATGTAACATTTGACTTTTCTAACTGCCTTTAACCGTTTTTATACAGCTGCAAGGTTTGTTGTGTCATACACTGTGTTGAAATTGACGAACCGTTTCAGTGCTCTGTCGGAGAATTTCTTGAACATGGGAAATTAACCATTCGAAAGTGGGTAAGGTAGGAAAATGAGGGCTGTTTTAGGAAATGGCACAGGTAAAGCGGATAACTTTTACAGTTTACAGTTTACAATTTATTTAGGATAGTAGGCTATATGCCTGTGTTAATCCTTTCGATTTGTTGCACACAGGAGGTCCAATCTCGCCTTGAATGAATCAACGGATGGCGCTGATACGACGTGTTCCGGTAGGGAGTTCCAATGGTTCACAATTCGATGCGAAAAACGGATCTCCAGACGCAGACGATTCGACCGTGGTTTTTGAACCTTGAGGTGATGTCCTCGCAATTGGTTGGTGCTAGAAGGAAGAAATAAATTAGATAAATTAGCTCCAAAATCATTTCTTAGGATACGGTATGCTAGTATTAGGTCACCCCTAAGTCGTCTGTATGACAGTGGAAATAAACCCAGTCGACTTAACCTCTCCTCATATGAGAGGGTTGAGAAACCCTTTATTAGCTTAGTTCCTACTCTTTGCACCCTTTCTAATAAGTCTATTTCGTATTTGAAACACGGGCTCGCTGCCTGGATCCCATATTCCAAATGAGGTCTGATATAAGTCGGATATAATATACGAAATATTTCAGCGTCAAAATTCGCAAAAGCCTTGCGTATGGCCCATAATATTCGAAAACCCTTAGTGGCTGCAGCTCTACAGTTTGTTGCTGTTTTCAAGTCATGCTGCACAACCACTCCCAAGTCCTTGTACTCAGTGACCACTGGAAGAGTAATGCCATTCATTGAGTAATTGTGCACGTGACTATGAGATACATGCATAACTACACTCTTGCTTAAGTTAATCTCCAAGGCCCAGTGCTTACACCAATCACTTAACAAGTTTAAATCTTCCTGCAAAGCAAGTTGATCACTGTCATCGTGTAAAGCCCTCCATATCTTGATGTCATCAGCAAACAGTAAGCAGGATGACCTAACTACCGATGGAATCTCATTAACATAAATCAGGAAAAGAAGTGGGCCTAGAATTGTACCCTGAGGAACGCCACTCTTAACCGATTCCCATGTTGATAAAACCCCGTTAACTCGTACTCTTTGTCTTCTGTCCTTTAGAAAGTCTTGAATCCAGTCGGCAACCACTTTATTGATTCCCATACTACCTAACTTTACTAGAAGACCTGAATGAGAAACCCTGTCAAACGCCTTGCTAAGGTCGATGAATATGGCATCCACCGGTATATTAGCATCAGCTGAGCTTGCCCAACTTTCTCTGGCCAAAAGAAGGTTGGTCAAGCAAGAATGACCTGCTCTAAAACCATGCTGTTCCACAGCGAAAAGTTTGTTCCCTTCAATGAACTGAATGATAGCATCACGAATTATTCTTTCTAGTAGTTTAACAACAATACTGGTCAAACTAACAGGACGATAGTTCTGAACTAAGTTTCTAGATCCGGTTTTGAAGACCGGACTAATGATGGCATCTTTCCAGTCTCTTGGACATTTAGACTGGTCCAGAGACATATTGAAGATTACCGACAATGGCTCGGCTATGTTTTCAGCCAATGCTGTTAATATACGTGGGTGGAGTTCATCAGGGCCACTGGACTTACCAGGATTGAGCCTTAGAAGCCACTTTAGGACAGTATCCTTTCCAATGTATAAGGGTGCCATTTTCAAGTTACCTTCTGGAAAAGTTACAAAGCTGGTATCAATATTATCAGAGAATACTTGACTAAAGTGCTTGGACAAAGCCTCAGCCTTAGTCAAGTTATCCTCAGCCATGTTTGTCTGGTCATCTTCAAGCATAAGAGGTGGGATAGCATCACTCTTACGTGTTCTTCTCTTGATATATGAGAAGAGTCTTTTTGGGCAGCCTGGTGAACTTTTAACTAACTGGGTTTCGTAAGCTATCCTTGACTGGTGAATCAAAGTTTTACACTGGTTTCTGGTTTCACAGTATTTCAGCCGGAACTGCTGTAGCCCAGTAGAAACAAAGAGATTCCAGAACCTTTTTCTCCGTCTTAGGAGTGTTATAGCTTGTCTATTTATCCATGGTGGCCGATTTGTTGGTCTTTTAGGAACCCTCCAGGGAATGAAATCAGTGGTAACCCTCTCAAGTGTATTCTTAAATCTATCCCATTCATCTTCAATGGATGAGACAATATTGACTGACCAGTCGGCAGTTGAAGCACGCTCCTTTATAGCGACTATGTCAGCATGCCAAACACTAGGTCGGGATTTGGGTTGAAAACTGACTAAATTGCCAACCCTTAAGTTAAAATCTAACACCCCATGATCACTGTTTGCTAGAGGTGGATGAATAACTAGACCATCCACGTCGTCGTTGTCATGAGTAAGCACTAAGTCCAGCAAGGAAGATCCTTGGGTAGAACCGAATCTTGTACTACCTAAGACATGTTGTGTCAGGGCATTTTCCATGGTAGTCAAGAGTAACCGGCTGTCAAACTTATTAGCGGATCCTGGAGATGTGCCAGCTACCCAGTCTATATGAGGTGCA